GCACCTGGACCCCAAGACCTCACCCCTGAGTCGACACCACTGTAGACTGCCCAAGGTCCAACCCTCTGACAAGGACCCCCCCAGCCTCAATCTGCCATTACACCTGGACCTGGTTTGAGCAAAGTCCCATAGCCTGGGCACAAGGACAAATGCCTAGATAGATTCACCCAGCTGCTATTGTCATCTCGACAGGGAGACCTGGGCAGAGAAATTCCCACAGTGCCAGCCTCTATGGAGAAGATCTCACCCAGCCCCGAACTTCCAACAATGAACTGAGGAATAACCCCCCACTAGCAAAAAGATCATCCAGCACCGGCTTGAAATGTGGCAATCTCAGGAGAACAGGAAAAAAAAGTACAGGTGCACTACAGGCTTTTAGTGCATACCCCTCTTCCCTGTCACATCAACATTTCACAGTGGGCAAAAGCACCATCTAGGGATTTCTCCTTCTAATTAAGCAAGAGAGTTCCCAGCAAAGGAGATCAGGCACCCTGCAAAGCTATTAGTCCTTAGCGGGGAAAAGTGGATTCAAATGAGAAGAAACCAGCAAAAGAACCCTGGCAATGTGAAAAAAAACAAAAACAGTTTGATACCACCTAGGGATCACAATGGAGCTACAGTAGTGTGTTCCAACCACAAGGAAATTGCTGAAATGACACAAATGGAAATAAGAATATGGATGGCAAATAACATGAATGGAATTGAAGAGAAAGTTAAAAACCAACAAGAAGAAGCCAAAAGAGTTTTTAAGGATATCAATGCAAAAGTCAGTAAGGAGCTAGACAACATAAGAAAGAATATAATAGAACTTAAAGAAATGAAAAAACTTAAAGAAATGAGTCATATAGGGAATTCAAAACACAGCAGAAAGCTTCAATAATAGACTAAACCAAGGGGGAGAAAGAATCTATGAGCTTGCAGCCAAGGCTCTCAAGCTAACTGAGTCATTCAAAGAGGCAGAGAAAAAAATAAAAATGACTGACAAATCACTTAGAGAATGTGGAATTACGTGGAGTGAACTAATATTGGAATTACAAGTATCCCATAGGGAGAAGAAGAAAGAGATAAAAGCATGGAAAATCTATTTGATAATTATTGAGACAAACTTTCCTGGTATCAACAGAGATTCAGACATCCGGATACGAGATGATCATCAAACACTGGAAAGATTCATAACAAATAGGACATCTCCAAGATACATAATAATCAACCTGGCCAAAGTCAAAATGAAGAAGAAAAGTCTACAAGTGGCAAGACAAAAGCAACAACTAACCAACAAAGAAAAACCCATCAGACTTATCAGCAGAGAACTTATAAGCCAGAAGGGACCGGGACCCCATCTTTAATTTTCTTAAACAGAACAACTGCCGACCTAGAATTTTATATCCTGCAAAACTAAGTTTCACAAGTGATGGAGAAATTAAATCTTTTTCATGTAAGCAAACACTGAGGGAATTTGTCACAGCAAGACCTGCCCTGCAGGAAATATTCAATACCGCACTATACAAAAATCAGCACAATAGATACCCACCAGTGTAAAATCACCTGAAAAAGCTGAAGTTCATAACTCTTATAAACCAATTGCACAAGAGGGAAATAAAGCAATCAAATACTACCCAACATGATAAACAGAATAGCATGTGACATATCAATTTTATCACTCAATGCTTGACTCAAAAGACATACGCTGGCTGAATGGATGAAAAAACACAACCCAAGGATCTGCCGTATCCAAGAAACACCTCTAAACCACAAGGACACACAGACCCAATGTGAAAGGATAAAAAAAATTATTCTATGGAAATAGAAACCAAAACATAACAGGTATAGCATTCTCATATCAGATAAAATTGACTTTAAATCAACAATGGTAAAGAAAAAGACGGTTATTATATAATGGTAAAGGGGGCAATTCAACAAGAAGACATAACAATACTAAATATATATGCACCGAACACAGGAGCACCAGATACGTAAACCAAATTCTACAAGGGCTAAGCAAAGACATAAATTGTAACATTGTAATTGTTAGGGACTTCAATACTCTACTGTCAGAGCCGGAAAAATCATCAAAGCAGAAAATAAATAAAGACACAGTAGACATAAACAGGATTCTAAAACAAATGGAACTAATAGACATAGACAGAACATTGTACCACAAAACTACTGAATATATGTTCTTCTCATCAGCACATGGGACACCCCTCAAGAATGATCATATCTTAGGCCACAAAACATGTCTCAGCAGATTCAAAAACATTGAAATAAGGCAATGTATATTCTCAGATTACAGTGTTATAAAACTAGAAATCATGAACAGAAGCTTTTCAAAAGAAGATAGACAAACAGCCAACAAACATATGAAAAAATGCTCAATCTCACTAATCATCAGGGAAATGCAAATTAAAACCACAATGAGATATCACCTTACCCCTGTCAGAGTGGCTATTATTAAAAAGTCCAAAACCAATAGATGCTGGCATAGATAGAGAGAGAAAGGATTGCGTATACACTGTTGGTGGGACTGCAAATTAGGACAACTTCTATGGAAACAATATGGAAGTTTCTCAAAGAAGTAAAAGAAGACCTACTATTTGATCTTGCAATCCCACTACTCAGTATCTACCCAAAGGAAAAGAAGTCATTTTATCAAAATGACACCTGCACTACTATGAGGACGGCGACGGGGAGGAGGCCGATACCTGCTTCGGGGACGACGAGGACAACCCTGGCAATGAGGGGTCCTGACAGCGTGCGCCCCGCCGAAATAAACTGACCGAGTTTTACCTCACTGGGACTGGACCGAGTGGGCTCCTTAGGTGGCGGACTCGACCTCACGGGAGGCGTCGTGTTGGTTCCCACCCCTCTGGTTGTTTCAGTTTAGGTCTTTTTTCCTTCCCTGTGTTTGTTCTGGGTTTTCCTCTGCTTCAGAGAAGAGGGGCCGCCTGCCTTGCTCGGGGCCCCCGGGCTGGCTGTGGCCGCGTCTGGCCTTGGGAGGGCAGCGTGGCCCTGACTGCTGCTTGGGCGCCCTGATGTCGGGCACTGGCCACAGCCCAAAGGAGGCACGTGGAGCCACAGATGGGAACGTGTGGACGCCAGCTCCCCGCTGCCACCGAGGGCCGGGGGCCAGGCAGCTCCATGGCCTGGAGCCAGAGACTTGGTGTGTTTCCCAGCTCACAAGTGGACGGATTAGCTGTGGCCGTCTCTTTCTGCTTTGGATTGTTTGAAATCTAAATAAAACTACTTTATGAGAAAAAAAAAAGAATGCGCTAGAATGTTATTGCAGCACAATTCACAACTGCAAAAATCTGGAATCAACCCGAGTGTTCATCAGTTCAAAAGTAGATTGACAAAATGTGGTATGTGTATATGGAGTACTACTCAGCCAAGAAAAGGAATGAATTAATGTCTTTTCCAGCAATTTGGTTGGAACTGGAGACCATTATGTTAAGTGAAGTATCTCAAGAATGGGGAAACAAATACCAAATGTACTCTCTAATAATTTAGAACTAATATATGGGCACGGAAAGAAGTAAAAATTGTTCGAAATCAAGAAGGGGGAGCGGGAGTAAGGGGGGCATAAATTCATACCTAACAGGCACAATGAACACTATTCAAGCAATGGGCACACTTAGAGCCCTGACTAAAGCATTATAAATCTATCCATGTAATAAAAATGTTTGTACCCCCTTAATATTTTTACATAAAAAAAATTTTTTAAAAGGAAAATGCATATGTTTATTGACTGGTGTGATGACACGCAGGAAACTAGTAATTGTAACATTAAAGGGAACGACACTCCTGAAAACAAGACCTTACAGGAGATATGAAGGGTTGTTCCTAAGATAGTTTTGGTTCCAGTTCAGGGTAAATAAACTACAGTAGTGGTGGGGAGAGGGGTGTGATGTGTACACAAATGTAACAGAAAATATTACCATTTGATTTATCTAGGCAATTGTCTCTATTCATTTCTTGTCCACAGCTATAGCTTATACCAGCCACATAATTTCAGTTTTATTCTTTTGAAATATAACTTTATCTTTTATTAGCTATTGATATTTCTCAAATTATACACTTTCATTATTTTATAAAATTGTACTTGTGTCATAACCAAGCAATTAATATAGTAGGAAAAACTTGAAACCCTTGAATGAGAGAGTTTGCTTTAAGATCTTTGATTTAGCCAAATTATCTTCAAACACATTGTTGCTAGATAACTTTCTATGACAACATATGCACTAGAAAAATCAGGATATAATTTATTCATCCTCTATTTATTGAAATGTATGCTCATTAAAGTTTCACAAGGATATCTCCGTGAAAAAGGAACAATGACTACCTTGATTTATAAAAAAATCTATCACATAATTTGCTAAACTGCTTTCTTTGTTTGATAGCTAAATTCTAAGTAATATTCTTTATGGATATACTAATAAATATTAATAACTCATGCAGATAAAACATATAACGATAATATCTGATTTTAATAAGACATGAATATTGTGGTAGATTGTTTTGCTTTTACATCATCTAAAATAATTACATGTTCCTCAAATATATATAGAAATAAACCAAGTAAATATACTAAGACACTTTTAAAAGTAACATTTTTCTTATATAATGTATTTTTTTCAATTTTTCAATAGTCTTCAAAGGAAGTTTTTCTCACTGATCACAGTATTTATTCTTTGAAAACATTAAGATAATTTTTTTCCTTTAAATAACTGATAGGCTTCTTTATTGCAAATGACAAGAAAAAGGAAATATTTAGAGAAAAGTTTGAACTTCACTCACTCAAGCAGAATTCGCAGAGTTACTCAGGCTATTTAGAATAAAAAATAAATTTTAATGATAAAGTCTAAGATTTGGTTGGCTTTGGAGTAAACTGTCCATCTTTTATCATAAAACTTTTGTAACTGTCAAAATAAAACCTTTTTGTAACTACTGTGAAGTATTATTTTATGTGAAACTCAGAAGCAATTTTGTTTGTTTTTTAATACCTTGTTGTTTTCGTGGATCATAAATCTGAAGCCCAAACAGGGGTGGTCTTTCATGCCTCAATAATGTCACCTCACTTGTTATCAAATCTAGTTGAAAAATGGAACCATTCATATAATCAGTCCAGAACACATAGTTCCCATGATGCGACAGTCCAAAAGGATGGTTCAATTCTTTCCCACTGTAAACAATCTGTAAAATATAAACACATTGTGAAAAATCAGAAATGATCTTCAGGAACATAACTAAATATTTAAAGAAAATTATATTCAAATAAGTGTAATAGATAATAATCTAACTAATATCTTAATTCATATTTTTCCAGGAGATTTGAAAAACAGATTTCACAATGTGAGCATATTTTTCTGTTTAGGGCATGCTATTTGAAGGAGACCATCTACATTTCATCCATTTAAATTATCTCATTTATGGCACTATTAATATGGTCAAGAAAACAAACATTAAAATGACTTTGCCTAACTCTCATTCCTATCTCACTTCTTGATGATATTCCAGAATCATATCCTAGGATAGAAAATGACCTGAATAATTAGTACTATTATGTATGTTACAATGTTGTATACTACATATTTGGATGGCATTGGGAGTAAAAAAGATTCTCCTACTTTAATTGGGCCAATGCAAATTGAAGAAATCTAGGAGCTGACTGGAAAGAAGGTAAATGTTTTAATTTTAAACATAGAAATCTTTATTAGTAGTAAATAGATAAGACTCACTGGCAAATTTCAATTCTGATTATCTTAATATATTCATTACATTCCAGTTATATTTTTTGTTGTTGTTTAAATGGAGGAATCATGTGATAAACAAGTCTTGTTTTACATGTAGGATTGTAGAAGGGGAATAAATAATACCTCCAATATTGATAGTGCTTTTTCACCCTTCACTATGTATAAAATCATATTGAATACAACATGAGAAAGCATTTAGTATTCACTTCACTTACTATTAGAAAATTGAAAAAGTTATCCAAATAATTTAGGATCATCAATTCAGGTTTTAATTCTTTTAACTAAATTCTTCATGCCAATTATCACATAGTGAATAATTGTGACGGTTTTAAAATTTTTCCAAACCTTTATGTAGGTTAAAATATGCTGACTATTAAAGTGTTGTGTATTAAATATGCTGCATACAAACCATCATCTTCTAAGAAATCATAAAGATTTATTTAGCACCTGTTAGGTATGTGACATCAAGTTAAATGTCAATCAATTCTACTTATTAGGGAAAATAAAATATTGTCAACCAATGACTGAAATAGTCTTAACTGATTAGTGTAGTATACTATTTATTTCTCAAGCAGGATTCACTATGAGTAGGCTTAGCCAAATTTGCAAAAGGGAAATAAATGTAATGTTAAAGGAAGCATTTTGACAATTTCTAACTTTTCATTTTTCCATGATTTAAATAACAGTTGAATTCTGTTCATGGTGTTACATGTGGTTTGGTAGTTGTAAAATGAAACAGAGAGGTGATATTTTTGTCAACTACGCCTTTGGCTCACAATCAACTGCATCATCCTAAATTTTACCCAAGAATCTCACAATCATTTTGCAATGATTTCAGCAAACAAGAAGAGGAAACGGATATCTATTCATATCAGTAGGGTTGGAGTTCAGTTCATTCCTACTATGTGCTTTAGTTCCAGTGTTACTAAGTTCTTTCTGCAAATAAATATTGTCAGCCAAATAAATCCATAATTACTTATTCATAATATATAACATTAAATTTCAGCTTTAGATCTTGAACATATTTGAATAGAGTAGGGTTGCTTGGTCATAGAAAACTCATCAATAATGTAGAAAAACTGCATTTCAAAACAGCTCTGATATCCTGAGAGCTTCTTTTAAAAATCCCACAAATCCTGGCATACCACAGTGAGCTGGGCCTGGTCTCCCGGAGGCAAGTGCCAGCTGTACTACTTAATGCTCAGCCTCCTTTAGCTACCCCACAGAGAATATTGGCAGCCACCTCAGAGGGGTAAAAATAAACTTGAAAGTATTTTTTAACACAACACAACAAGGCTCTGTGAAAGAAGAAGCCTGTGGGTTAAAAACAGCAGCATTTGTCTTTTACCTTCCTGTGAGTTCCATTCAAAAACACTTTTTCAATATGATCATAATAGGCATCACACCAGTATAATGTGTTGGTGTGAAAGTCCAGAGTTAAACCGTTTGGCCACAGCATCTTTGAAGTCACAAAAATCTGCCGATTGAAGCCATCCATCCAGGCCTTCTCAATCCTTCCCACGCTGTCATCTATTTCATCTTCCTCCCAGTCTGTCCAATACATCCAACTAAGACATTAAAAAACAAGAGGGCATACACGTTATTTCAACCAGCCACCATATAGAGAGGCACTTCCTTAGATTTGGCCCTTCCGTAAAATCTAATTACATCCTGGTTTGTTCTCCTATCTAAATGCTTATCTGTCGAAGGAAGGGGGCAGCACTGAAGTTTTAAGGGAAGTAAATATTTGCTCAGTGGTACCAGTCCACTTAGCCTTGTTATAGAAAATCCGCTATCACACTTACTGGCTTCATGTATTAATTCACCTGGTAGTAAATGTCAAATATCTATTTTCTTTGGTATCAACATTAATTCTAGAAAATTATTTTGGGAGGCATTACTATTTTTAAATGTCCACTTCAAAGAGTATATAATCAATTATGTGATTGAAAAGCAGACTGACTTTCATGAGAACCCACAGCATAGTTGATTATCTACTCCAGACTTTATTTAATCTCAGATGAATTATTATTTTTTCAGACAAGCGATTGGATTGCCTTTGTTCTAAAGGGCACAGTCACACTGGGTTTGTTTGGCCAGGTCTAATTTGTCTTCCTGATGCAAATTATCTATGCTTTATTACTGCTTATTATTAACCCCAAACCCACAGAAGATGATTTAGCTGCACATACGTTTGATAACAGCAGGTTGACTGACCTTGAGATTTTGAGATTTAATTTCTATCTCAAACAAAGGCATCTGCCTTTAAAAACAAATCTTTTGTATAAGCTCTAACAGCAGGAGAGGGGGCCTTGAGCTAATGTTCCAATTCCCTCATGAATAAGGTTAAAACCCACCACATGTGTTGTCTTAGGGTCATGTGAAAGTTCTGGAGTTATTAATTAAGTGTAAGATTTAATTCAATCACTTCATACATAACTTTATAAAGCCCCGATGCCTTTCTAAGCTGCTGATCCTAGAAATACCCTTATTAGATCCCCTCCCTCCCATATTTTGCAGAGCCTAAAGAATTTCTGAGGTAATTTGGGAAAAATCTGTATCCAGGACTAAAAATCCTACTATGATCTACACTGGCAGATTTGGGAAAACTGATGTAATATATCGTTCATTATTTCATACCAATTAAGCTCTTTTTAAACTCTCTTATAACAGTTTACAATTATGCTGACATGCCTTTTTAGAACTGAGGAAGTATATTGAGACTGTTGAATTTTATTAATTCTAGAAATACATATGGCAATATGCCTGTTTGTATCCTGCATTTCCTTAAAGTGGTTTTATCATTGGGTCAGTTTAGGAATAAACAGAAGAGTTATTCTTTTTGCTTTAATTCTGTGTTAGTTAGATATAAATACAGCTGGTTCAGCTGTGTAAATCAACTATGTAAAAGTAAAATATATAATTTGTTCATCTCTATTGATATTTTCTTCAAATCTTATAGTTAATCAATACAGTTTTATTATTGCTAATTTATAACTTGTTAAAACTGCAATTATCTTTCCCTGTAGATTTTCCTTTTGATCATGGTGACACACATTTTTTCTGTGACTAACCTGAACCACATATATATGTGTGCATACATACACACATACACACACACAAAAGAAAGATAAATTTGGATATTCTAAATATATTGTATATTGTTTTACTGCTTGAAAAAAAAAGAATTGTGAACTGATCCAT